AAGATTCACAACAGCTAGTGATGTCTGGATGTTTGGTTAGTGTTTCAACAAATTTAATTTAAATGTTCTGAACACGGAATGAAATATTTTATGTTCAATCTGCTTTCATTTTCCTGACATTGTTCTAAAAAGAAATGTTTGCACACTTGAAATATTTTGCTAACAAAATGTATTGGGATTATAAACAGTACCAGTAAGACTTCAGCATTGATTTCTTTTTCTCCTTTATGTAAGGAGTGTGTATGTGGGAGATTCTGATGTATGGCATTAAACCATTCCAAGGAGTGAAAAACAATGATGTGATTGGGAAGATAGAGAATGGGGAGCGACTGCCCCTCCCCATTGATTGTCCCCCCTCCCTGTACAACCTCATGTGCCAGTGCTGGTCGTACGAATCCTCAAAGAGACCTTCATTCTCTGATATCAAAGTCCGTCTGCGGTAAGCCTTGTACATTTCATCTTAAATTACTCTTATTTTTGAAACAACATACTTTATGTTGGGTAAAAAAAAATTTTTACCAGACATTTGTTTTGTTTTACAGAGAGATTTTAGATGAAGAAAGAAATCGCCAGGTTGAGGAAATGAAAAGAGATAACAGAAGGATACAGGAGATAAATTGGAGTAAGTTCCTCTTTACAGAATAGGTGTGAAATCTGTAAGGACAATTACCATTTGGAGTTTTGATAAAAATAAACTTTTTAAAAAATTAACAATTTTAGGTCTCAACATTATTAAAAATTCATGTTTTCATGTTCTGTAGCAGGATCCAGTGGATCTGATATTGAGGAACCTCCTCCGAAACCAGCCCGCCCAAATTTCATGACACCAGCTGGATCCACCCCAAATCTATCCAGCAACCAAAGTGTAGAATCTCTCCCTCCTTCCTGGGGAAGCACCACACACCTTCCCATTAGTCACAGTACACCATTGGGACCCAGTCCACAGCAACCCCCAGCCCCTACCCACACAGGCCCCCCAATCATGTCAATGATGCCCGGTCACCAGGGGCCTCGAGAAATCAATTTACAGAATTACTTCCCCTCATCTTCTGGATACACCTCAGTACAACAGCATCAACACCAACTTCATCAGAATTCTGAATCTGTGCCAGACATGGGGAGGGGAGGGGCAGGCTATCCAGGTTACCATGTGCCTCGAAATCCTCATGAACTGTCAGAAATGTTGTCCACGGGTCAGAGAAATGCCTCTCCAACGCCCGTGAATTCCACTGTGATAAATGAAGTTTTACCCCAGAATCCTCACCTTGAGTCCCCTGAAAATGAGTGGGTGCCACAAGTGCCGGTGAGGCTTCATAATGATTCAGAAGATGCTACTGTGATAGAACAGCAGTTGATTCTCCAACAGAGGCAGTCAGAAGAGGACGCCAAGTGGCTGGAGGACTCAGAAAAACACTTAGTAAGGCCTCACTAATATAAAATTAAATTCATTTAGTCCCTTTGCTGTTACTTATATTCCAGAGGATTTTGCCAATAATGCAAATATGTTATTTCCTTGTTTTTCTCAGAGAAGAGATAAAGGGCCAGGTGCAATCAAACAGGAAGGGAGGATTTCAAATAATCGCTCCCCAGCAAATACTCTCCCCCTCCAGAAAGAGAATCCTCCCATTCCTCCTCCTCCAGAGGCCATCAACAGAATGACAAGCCGCACATCAAGTAAGTGAGGAGAGAGATGAATAGTGAAATATTGTAGTGCTATCTGAAATATTTATATCTGACAGTATTATTCTCAGATTGAGGAAGATTATTAAGAAAGTAACAGAGTATGGAAGGTTAAACAATTTTAATGCCTCCCTCTCCCCCAAAAACTTCTTAGTACCTGGTACACCAAAATCTTCCCTCTTTTCTTCTTGTATGTTTTCTAGCATGTTTGTACTGCCATAGCATGAATAAAGAGAAGTTTTTATGTACAATCATGACATTTCCATATTGCATTCTATAATTTGAAGAGAAAGACATGTACAATTTTGTGAATGTGAGAAAATTTGTAGTCTAACAATCAATTTACAAACAAACATTGAACTATTTCTAGGTGGTAGCAGAAGTAGTAGTACGAGTGGGTCAGATGGAGTGTCATCACCGTGGCAACCAGAGCCCCCTGAGTTGGACAGGACTAATGACAATGTATATAATAGTACTACTAATGTTGTGCGGTCTGTGATGACCTTGACAAAGGAAGCCAGTGGAGTCAAAGCCGAGGAATATACAGACTTTGTCAAAGTGAGTATCTAAATTTTCCTCAGTATTTTTTGGAGGAATCTAAATTTAGACTCATTCTTTAGCATGCATTATAAATGCTGAAAATGAACTTTAAAGTCTTCGAGAGTAGACCTCGTATATGTCCACTCTTTTAAAGATGGCATAGCTTTGGAATTTTGGTTAATTAAATCTTACACTTAATGAATTCCTACATTCTTTCCTAAACATTTCAATTCTGAAAGAAAACATGATTGCATAATCACCATTTACCAGTACATTATTATGATTAATATTTGGCACATAAAGTACACTATCAAAATTTGAAATCCTTGTAATCCAAATGATGTTCAATTTAGAAAGAATTCTTTTTTATTATAGGACATTGGAGTGAAGCTGCGAACTCTTTTAGGAGCAGTGGATGAGTTCATCCCTACTCTCCCCGCCCCATTTGTCCATGATGTAAGTCCTTGTCTACATTTCTACTTAACTGCATTTGATAATTTTCACAAATATGGCTATTTCATGTCTTGTATATGAGAGGAATAGTGAGCACAGTGAGCTCTAATGACAATGCCAAGGAATAGAAAAAAAATTCGAATTTTGCACATTGGTCCATAGTATTTTACTGATATATGTTTGGTGTATCATTTCAGGTTCAAATGGCACAAAATGTTTTATCAACTGACATGGCGTCACTTATTGCTGCCATGAAACTAGCCATCCAGTACAGCACGACAACCATGGATGTCGAATACAGAAAGGGCATGCTGAAGGCAGCTCACGTCTTAGCAATGGATTCCAAGAACTTGCTTGATGTTGTAGACAAAACTAGAGTGAAAGTGAAATCGCTAAGTGGCCCCAGCTGATAATCAGCTCATGTTTGAATCTGTGTGCATAATACAGGTTGTACAAATTCCTGGGAAACTGCATCATTCTCAACAAAAATATGAAGAGTGTGGCATTTCATTCCGGCCCAGGACTGAGTGAATCACGGAAACAGACACCCTGATCTTTCACTTCAGTACAAGGACTAGAAGTCCAGAAGGCAGTGTGCCTCAGCATTTAGCCCGGAAGTGCTTTGTATACACAGAGAACCACAAATAAAATTTTCATTATTTGGACCAAAATTTGTACATTGAATACCTAGCAGTCTCAGTTCACATTAGTCACATGAACATACAATTGCACAAATGAAAAATTATTGGTATTCAGACAGTATTTTGAAAAATTTAACTGTATACTTAATAAAAAGCTTTGCATTGTGAAAATTAAGAGTGAATGTATGAAAAAATTGTGTCTGCAAGCAAGTATGTAAGGAGAAGTGAGTCATCAAGAGATTACATCCATTTCATGTTGTATAAAGGGAAAAATATTCTCTTGCCATTTATTTATTGCTGTAAAATAAAATTCATGAACTATACAAATAATTTTTTTTTCTTCAAATTAAATTTTGCTCAGGAATAAAAAAAAACTAGAAATATATAAGGATTATTAGTACATGTAATGGGAAATGAAAATGTGTATCAGTGTAGGAAGTTTAATGAAAAACCCTTGAAAAGTTTCTTTAAAACTTAGTTTAATAATAAATAGTAAAGTCAGAGGAAGGTTCAGGGTAAAAAAAAAGGACACAGTTGATAAAATCTCAACAAATATTGTATTAGAGCATAAGCTAACATAAGAAATATCTGGAATAGTTTATATGAACAAATTACAAATTTTTAGAGAAATGAGGTCAAGGCCATAAAATGGTTGATGTCAGAAATGATGAAGATTACTAGTTCTTTTCAATATGAAAATCAATGAAAATATCTTGATTTGTTTCTTTGACAATTATACTGAACACAGTTTGAAGGCAAGGTCAAAACAAGGACAAGGAAAAATATTTGATGCAATTGAATAACTCTCATCAATATATAATAAAGATGTAAAAGCTTGATAAAAATATTTTGTACCTTTTTTTAAAATTAAGCTCAACAAAAATTTGAGGGCAGAGGAAAGGTCAAGGTAAAAAATGTTGATGCAGTTGAATAGCTCTCACCAATATGTATCGGAAAGTTTTAAAACTGAGCCTAAAAAGTGGGGTAAATGTAAAATGAATTAGGTCAATGTCAAAAGATGTTGATGCAGTTGATCAACTTTCCTCAATATATGCAAGCATATATACTGCATACAGGGTTATTTTTGCTAGCTATCACTCCTGCAAACAATTTTGCACCATTTTGGATTCATCGAAATGCAGTTCTGTTTAAGACAAACTGCCATTTCCTTTGAATTTAACCCCATTTTAAATCAGCCCAATTGTAATGATGGCAAAGGGGTGAAAATTTCCCGGCTGTATACAGTATCTTAAGTTTCTTTGAAACTGAGATTAACAAGCAGAGGTCAAAATTAAATGTTGATGTAGATAAAAAGCTTTCATCAGCACATGAAGTTTGATATTAATATCTTGAATAGTGTCTTTGAAACTAATTAGCTAAAGAAAATTTTAGAAAAGTGAAGTCAGGGTCAAAGGCAAAAATTTTTGTTTTTTAAGTTTTATAGCATCACGATTCTGCATTCTTTTAAGATGATGTGCCTTTGCCAATTATTGTAATTGTGTTTGTGCCAATAAATATTTGTATTTGTATTTATATATTATAGAGTTTTTTTTAAGAACAAGCAAAAATTTTCTAGAAAAAAATTTGCTCATTTTAATTACGAAACAGTAAAGGAACGATTTAATTAAAAAAATAATCTTTCGGAAGATACTTGACTTTTTCCTTATTTCACATCCACTCTCAGGATTTTTCATTACTTTTGGCTGTTAAGTAACAACATGGCGACAACCTTGTGTCGTTTTTTGAGAAAGACGATTGTAAATACGTGTAGAGTTCCCGCAGTGTACTCTCATACACTGTCACAAACAGCAGAAACGAAGCCAGTGGATAAGTCAGAAAATCAGAAAGATACTTCCATTTCCACACCTCAAGGGGACCAAGCACCTGCTGAAATCGACAGCGTATATCGTGCAAATGCAGGTACTTAGAGTATGCAATATTTAATTAAACAAATTATGACTGATTAATTTCTTGCCCTGGATGATTATTGGACTCAGGTAATTTGGACGATAAAAATGAATTATAATTTATTTATGTATCGTAATTGTATAACAATGTTATATATCACAAACTAGACTGTGTTTACTAGGTTTAGAGCTATGAAATGCTAACAGCTGAAGAAACATTTTTGTGATCTAAAGTTAAAAGTGTGAATTGTATCATAATACGAATGATACGAATGTATCTTGATCATATTTATTTTGACATTTCACCTTTCATATTTATAATCAGTGTTTCTCTTTTTAAATGAGAAACTTTATATGAAATGCTAACAGCTGAAGAAACAAAGGTAAATGTAGCCCCGCTTGTAGGGTTAGACAATACTGCAGTAGGTTCAAAAGTTGTTACGATATGGCCATTCTTCCTAAAAAATAAAAATACAACTAGTGTGTATCAATGGTATATTAATGAAATCATAATACGAATGATAGCGGTGTGTGTTTCGAAAGATATTTTAAAATTGTGAGTTGATCATATTAATATAGCATTTGACATTTCACCATTTCATATATTATAATCATAAGCAAATGTTTCATAATCTTTTTAAATGAGAAACTACCATGAAAATATATGACGTACTAGAACAAAACTATAAACAACAGGGAGGTAATAAAACGACTAAATATCACCACTTCAATATACTTAAAAAATGGTCACCAAAAAGTGCTGCCTCTGTTCAAACTGTAATTTTGCATAAAAAGATTATTTCATTAATATAGTGAGCGAAATACCTTTGTAAATAACGCGATGCTCATCACTGCGTTTAGAATGAATTATGATTTTTGTTAACATTTCAAGTTGTAACGACAACACCTGGACAATGTCAAGAGAAATTGGACTACTGCACATTCGTTCAAAAGAATTTTTTCTGCAGTAATTTGGACCTACAATGCATCGCTTTGTACACAAAAGCTAAAGCTACGTTCTCGCGAGAATAAGAACAAAAGTTAAACAAATAATAAACTTGCCTTGATTTAATGATATTGTTGCAGAAAAATAGTCAATAAAATGGTTCTTCATTAGAATCAGCCCTGTTCAGGCTTTGGTTTGGAAAAGCAACATGCATACAACGTCATGTGACATCAGAGTCTTAGACGCACGAATGTCACGTGCGGTTTGAGGAGCCCGATCTAAATGAAAACTGAATAATTATCTGCGCTTGCCCTAACGGTCGCACCATCAACATATTATATAACATTTTAAATATTCATGCTCAAAACACAATAAAAACAACCGAAGTAAAGAATGAAAATCTAATTGACTGTTATCATTATTGTAATAATCGTATGCCCCCCCTAAGGTCCCTTTATTGGTGAATAAACATATACATTGAGTATTATCCACAGACACATATTCTATGTTAAATATAATTTATTATGAATAAATATATCAATAATGTTAGATGAGGAATTGGCTGAAGAACATACACAGTTAAGGGCTGGAAGAAATTCAAAGGTGATCACACCTGTACAGTTCCATTATTTTTTTAAAAAAAAAAATGATGAAAAATCAGCCTTAAAGAAAATAAAAAAAAAAATTCAATAGTTATTCATGCATTTGAATTTAAACTCGATCATTCAGGAATAAATAAGGCAAGAGTAATTTGGTCTCTTTGTTTACATTTTGTTTTCATGGTGCTTATTTTCTTGTAGGATGTGTTTGCAACAGGTGTGATACACATGACCCCTCAATATGGGCAGCATGAAAATCCTTATGTGATACCATCAACCAAGGAAAAAAGGCTTATTGCTTGTCTCTGTAAGTTTTATAGCATATAATTCAAATTGTATGCACAAATAATTATTGCATAGAAGGTCAACTTCAAAGCAAAGGAGTTATTGTATATTTCAATTACATCAATATTTTCTATAAATAAAAAAAGAAATATGTCATACCAACCATATTAATATCATCGTCGGAAAACCCACAGCCAATCTCGCATACGCTTATTGACCTTTAGTGACCGTCAATAAGCATATGCAAGATCGGCCATGGGTTCCTGATGATGTATAAATAAAAGATATTGTTCACTCATCTTGTGAACTTATTGGTAAATTGCTGTAAAAAAAAACAGCAGAACTCGGTTATAACAAAATCACTTGGACCTATGAAATTACTTGGCGGTATCCGTAATTCGTTATTATCGTAAAAGAAATTCATTAATTTTATATAGCTTGGGATCCAAGATGACTTTGCTATATCTGTGAATTACATGTTCGTACTTAACGAGTTTTACTGTATGTACACAAGGTGCTGTTGGTTGTTTATCATGTATGAAAAATTTACACAGCAATATCCATGTTCATCCAACAACATCCCATATGGACACGTCAGAGGTCTAGACTTATTCGCTTCAACAATATACAATGATTTTGCAGGCAACGATATGATTGGTTGATAGAAAGATGTGACCCTGTGGGATGTTGTTGTTTATCATGAGAGCGGATCTAACATATAATTTTAATTAGATTGTGTTTGTGTCGTTTGATCTAATAAAAGTAAAATAGACAAGACCTAGGTTTTGATAAAAATAATATCTGAATGAATTGAGAAATATTTTTTTTGTAAAATGTTTTTGCTGATTTTCACCTCAAAACAATGCCATGTCAAATCACATAAAGTGATACATTGTTTAGACAATAAAGGTCAAAGTGGTATTTTTATGTTGTGTGTAGACTTACAAAATAATGAAATTATAAACCATTTTTTTCAAAGGAGGGGAAAAAACAAAGAGGCCTTTGTGCCATAATGGTCAGCTGAATAACTTGACCCTGCTATGTGCATTATCAGCATTGCCCCCTCCCCCCGTATATAATTCCTATGTAAAACCCTACTCTACCCCCTAGGGGTCATGTGATTCGAACCAAATAGATTGTACACTTCCTAAGGATACTTCCCTATAAATATGACTATTGCTTTGCTGTTCTTGAGAAAAAGATTTTTAAAGATCTGTTCGCATATACATGATGTTAATGTGTAAACTTGGAAGCCCCACCCAAACCCTGGAGGCTGGTTACAGCATTTGTTAATTCATTGTAATTTTCTTTTATTTTAGGTGATGAAGATTCAAATACTTTAGAGTATATGTGGCTACACAAAGGGGAACCACAAAGATGTTTGTGTGGAATATTCTTCAGGTTAGAAGAAGTTGATGCATTTGGAGATCCCAAATGAACTTAGAAATGTTTTCATCTGTAAATATATATGTGCAAAATTATACAATTTATTTATCATGTTTATGTTCAAACTTGTACCTGTTTTTAAAAAGATTAAATATTTAAAAATTCTCTGCTCTGTTTTTTGTGAGTGTGTGTGTGTGTAAAATTGTAGATGTGAATAATTTTCTGAGTACATATTTCAATAGGTGGTTTTTAATACTACATGTATATATGATCACCTACTTGAATGTATAATATTTCTCAATCTGCAACAAATGCAAGAGTGCTCAAAATATTTCCAATGTTCAAAAGGACACTATAATAAAATCAAATGTTAAATCTCAGTGAAATGGTCAGGAAATTGTGAGTGAAATAAAATAAATTTAAATTGCTGATGTTACAGTTTTCTTGACAACAAATTCGGTGAATAATCGTCCTCAGCTTGTGGAATAGGTCATTGGTCAACAGGATGCATATTATTTATGGCACACTGTATGTTGTATCCTTATCTATCTTATTGTCCATTATACAAAGATAGATTTTTTTTTTTGCATTGCAAAAGTTTAGAAGGCTGAAAACCTGGATCCTCCACTGGATTTCATATATCACTCTATGGATTGAAGAGGTCATTGGAATTCTAGCATTAGATCATTCTGTATTTTTAATTAAAAATCATTCATTTAATAAACATAAATCGAACTCCATGAATATTAGAAATCTTAAAAATGTCGGAGATGTTTTAGTAATCAAGTGCGAATAGTTTAAAGAACAGGTTACTCGGTTCATTTGACCTCTCCCGAGAGCGAGACTTCGGCGCGAAGTTCTTGACCTTGATCGCACTCTCTTTGCAAAAATGGCCTCGTCCTTGTGTAGGACTCTCCTGAGGAGTGTGAGAGACTCAAAGCGACTGATACATACGAGTGCGCCGGTAACGGCAAAAGCCATTAATCTTGGAGGCTCTCTCACGGATCATTTTAAAGGAAATAAAGGTGACATAGAATCAGAATAAGACAATTTATAGTGAATTCATGTAGTCACGTATTCCATAACAATTATGAAAATAAGTTATTTCCGTATCATTTATGTAATAAGATGTATGTTATCTCAAGGAAAGCTCAAACTCTTGACAAGAGTTAAAGATTGGGGATAATCGGCGACATCTTTGGTGTATACTTCAAAAATGACTTATTTTCGAATTTCCTCTGACTTAAAAAAAAAATCACGATATGCCGTAAAAGAATAAGTTATATATTTAATGTTATGAATTAATATTGCTTACTTAAAATGTTTAAACTCTGAATTTCTAAACACCCAGATTACAAGAAAACTCATTTTGAACGGAAGATATTGTGTTGTTGCTTGATGTCCTTCAAAACAAACATCAGAGGAGACAAATGTCAAATTGTGCAGAATCAAAATTTCAGAACCAGATAAACTTGTTTCTGTTTCATATTATTTTAATATTATATTTGTCTGTGAATGGAAATGATAGACATACACGAAATGTCAAATTGTTATTAAAGTTCGATACATGGACTGTTGAGTAGGCCTAAACTATGATGCACCGTATTTTTCACCAGTAACTGCTAAGTGAAAACTGTTGGTGATTGATCAGATCTAATCTGCAATATAATGAACACATGGTAGATTCTAGTAGAATAGAATAGAATTTATTTTCCAATCATGGTCCCACTGGGGGCATAACACAGATACAAGCATAATTTGCAACACTCAAAAGGACAAGAAATACATAAACATACAGCAATACAGAACATAAAAATACTAAATGTTCATTGTAGACAAAACAGGTTTCATGTGAATATTTAACTGTCATTCAGACTTGTTGCAATCTTTCTGTTTTCTGAGGGGTACATTTGAATTAAAATTATTTCAACCAAGCAAGTTGTTTTCATAATTTCTTTTGTCAATCTATCATGCTGATAAATAAAAAGCACGTAATTTTCAACATACATAAATTCACTTCACAGTAATATTTTTTTTTATAAAGATGCATGTATTCATGCTCATCCATCAAAAATATTTTGAAGAAACTTGCTTACTCTTACTTTTTATAACTTCATATGAGCAAGTGTGTCAACTTATCGCAGTGCCTAGTAAGGATACATTTTTTTTAATGATGATTAAGAATAATCACAAATTTACAATCTTGATTCCTGTTTTTAGAAATTGAGGGTCAAGTTCCAGACTGGGGAGGACATGCTGTTGGACTAGAACGATTTGAAATTTTGTGCGAGATGGAAGGAAAGGTAGGAAGAAGTTTTATTGGAGGTATTGTAAGTGTGTTGGATGTCACACATACTTTTTTGTTTTAAAGAAAAATGATTAGGCCATCTTTGATTTAGAAATGTTGCCCTCTCTCTACTCAGGGTAAAAAAAAAAAAAATAAATGGGAAGATAGGTGAGGAGAATTTTATCTACTGTGTGCTTGAAAGATTAGCATTATAATGTTTGAATATATTCCAGGAAAGTTGGGAATGATCTGGTCCTGTTTTACAGTAGTTACTGGCAGGAAAAAAGATCTCTCCCTGTTCAGTGCCCTCGAGTGCCATGTATAGGTCTAAATTTGCAGTCCTCCACCAGCAAGTGGTGACGTGATCACCAGTCCAGAATTCTTGAGAGTGATGTTATACAATGAAGAAACAAGCAAAGCAAAACAAAAATGCTACTGCAGTCATTCCAATAATTTTAAAAACTATTTGGTTTATTGGTTTTATGGAATCCTGATTCTAGATCAAAATTGTTAATACCAGTGCTTATCAAATACAGACTCCAGAGTTCCCGAAACTAGTCAAAAATATGTCGGACAATTGTCCTGTAAATATTCAAAATTCAGAGACATTAATTTTTTGTATGTAAATTTAACATATTATAGGATTGGAAATTGTGTCGATATAATAAATAATATGTGTAAAAAAAAAGATGGCAAATGCAGATTTTTTTTTTTAGATTTATTAAAATATTTTGTATAAGGCCTGTGTATGCGGGAACGTCGCCGGCGGCGTGTGATGCACGCTTAATTCATCGTATTAAATTCTTATGTCCTAATTCTGACAGATTTTTTATTTTTTTTAAATAAAATCTGCAACAGTCGAAATATCTGCTGTTTTCCAGGCTTTTTTCTTTTTACTTTTGGAATTTTATGTGCCAGGAAAAATATTACGTAAAATATCAAACTCGTTTTAAAAAGCCTGGAAAACGTCCGATATTTTTGACTAGTTAAAATTTATTATACAACCTCCACACAGTTAAAAATATGTACTAATGATATAAAGATATGCAAATTTATCATGAAAATGATGATTTTAAGTGAATTTGTTGTCGTTTTACTACATTCAAGTCAGTCCGGTATTTTTAGGAAAGGGGGAAAACGCGCATGTATTTTAAATGCTATCAAATACATTAAAAAAAATCCAGAAGTTGGTATAATATTATCATTAATAGATTAAATTAAAGAAAATAATAAATGGTAACAAATTGTCTGTAATCAAGCAGAAATACGTGTGTAGCAGGCAACTCTTGCAACCCTGCAAATTCGTTCTGCAAAACGAAAGTAGATTGTCACATTTTTTTTTACTTTAGAGTGCATATATTTATTAGAGGGAAAATATTTGTTTGAAAGTGTTTTTAAAACTTTTTCCTCCCAGACTTATGGAAATTATTATTTTAATATGTAGCTTTTTATAGTAGACAATCACCGTCTACATTTCATTTAAACAAGATCTGGCGCGCCCCTGACGTTTTAGTTTTGCATTTGTTTATTGTCAGGACAATTGAATTAAATGATTTTGTTAAGATTATGTGTAATCGTTATACAGTCTGTAAAAAAAACATCGGACATTTTGACCGATAAAATTAAGATTTTACCAGTCCCATTCAAAGTTTACCGGGGATCCCCGGTGGACCGGTGCGTTTCGGGAACTCTGCAGACTCAGAATATGTACCGGTATTTAATTCAGTATAAAATAAATAAGTTAGAGAAAACTTCTCAAGTGTTAATGGTATGCATTGTTGGATTAACATAAAAATAGTCTCAAATAGCTTAAAATCATTTTTTATTTGCTTTGCATGACAAGTAAAAGCACGCTAGTTAGTAGTGTATGGTCTTTAAAGTTTTATATAGGAAAATCACATGCACACATATTAGATATGGTTGAGAATAAAAAAATGTTTGTTTTTTAAACTTTTGTTGGAATTCCTTATTTGAAATTTAGGATTTTCAAATCATAGGCTTGGTGTGATATCTCTCTCCCCTGTGCTGTATAAAATATTTCATATTATTGCATACAAAGTTGAAACTCTTCCAGCACACCAAATGATCCAGATTCTTGAAAGTTGATCCTTTATAATTCTTGAATTATTTCTTTACAGGACCCATTTGAAAATAAAACATATATTAAACAGCCAGGATTTGGAACAAAAGCAAACCCACATATTGTACCATCAGTGTTTGACAGACGTCTTGTAGGATGTATATGTAAGTAAATGCTTCTCTTTCAGTGTATGGTTCCATCACTCTAGCACTGCACCAAACTGAAGAGAGTCAAGGGTGAAAGCAAAACAAGAAAATGAAATTACATGTACTCTCTGTACACACTTGTCAGATACACACTACAGACAGTACAAACATCTAAGGTATTGCATGAAGAAACTTATGAGAGAAACCAAGTGTACTGATTACAACACACAAAGAAGAGGTTTCTAGGTACAAATTGTTCAGCATTCATTGATATTTTAATTAGAAAGTTGTACAGCCTTATACACTGTGCAAACTTGCTTATCATGATTGCACAATTTTTACAGAATTCAAGAATACACTGAACAGACAGACAAACACACACACACACACCCTGTACAGACTAAGTTTTTAAATGTAAATACTTGTAATTATGAGTTTGATACGTAAAAATGGGTTCTTTGAACATTCTCATTTACAAGCATATGACATCACATGGATGCACTGATATGATTAGGTGCCTGTGTTCTGACCTGTTCAGATTTCATCTGTAGGATAACTAGCTGATTGTTGTTTAACATTTTGCTTTGAAAGAAAATCTGTAAAATATTTTATTAAAAAGATGCATCTGCAGACCTCATTATAAGATTTTCTTCACTGTTATTGATGCAGTACGAGATAAGAAAATTTCTTTGACATGTAATTATGTTGAAATATGAAGGAATTTTAAGAATATTCAACCTCCTTTGTACACAGACTCTGAAAATGATAAATGATTCTGATTTTTACAGGTGATGAAGACACTGCACAAATGCAGTACTTCTGGCTATACAAGGGTGAGCCCAAAAGGTGCTGGTGTGGCCATTTCTTTCAAATAAAGGAAATTGATGGTAGCGAATTCCCAGAATACCCCAGGGAAGAATTAATTTCCATGGAGCAGGATTAATGCTATTAGGTCATTTAGAGCTTTTCAAATATACATGAACTCTGAAGAATAAGGGGTTTGGATTTTTGTTTTGTTTGCAAAGAAAAAAGACATGTTGTGTTGGAAAGAGAAAATGGAGTCCACGACGTTGTAATCAATAAACAAGTCTTAATTTATGATGTTAGTTCTTTTTTGTCGTTAATTTTTTTCACATTGAAAAGTTGAAGTGATTGGTGACATAACAACAATTGATATAACATCAAATATCTTAAACATTAATTTTTTATGCTGCTTTCAAAAGTACCTTCATCTATGAAACCATTTTAGGGTATGTGCAACTTTTTTGCAAAATTAGCAAGAATGTGATTTTAAATGATTTGACAAAGTATTTAAGGTTTCGTCAAAGGTCAACATGTCCAAAAATTTATTATTACAATAACTCCAAAACTGTGTCAGAGGTATAAAGTTAAAACTGTTAAGAGTTTATAAATTTTCTTTCTATCTATACAGTGTATATACTTTCTATCTATTGATCAATAATATATTTATAAACTGTAAACATTTTGACTTTATATCACACATAATTTTAGAGCTATTGTAAAAATAATTTTTTTGGACATGTTGAACTTTGACGAAACCTTAATCCCCACCTTTTACTGTTCTCAGGATTTATGGCATGACAAAGTGATCCCCAAGTGTTGCTCTTCTCTGCAGATGACACAAAAAGTATGATTCAGATTCATTAAAAATTTACTTTTTCAATTTCATCACTGGTTCTGACATGTATGTCCAGATGCTACTTTATGCAATCTTGATGGTAAAGACTCCATGAATACTAGTAATTTTAACTGAAGAAACACAATTGAAATTATTCAAGGAATAGAGGAAACTTCTTATGGGCTACAATTTTGAGAATTTTTATTTGGTCACCCTAGTAAACCCAGTGTACTTCATGGTAAACTTTTATGACATTGCATAACTGAAAATGAAATAAAATTTCCATGAAGTCTTTGTACTTGGCAAAATTGTAACTTGTGAATTAAGCTTATTAAAGATATTTTGCAAATTATCCCATGTTTCCCACTATTGTTGATGCTCTGGCATACTATACTAACTAGACAGTGATTCCTTAAATTTATACCACCGAGATATCGGCAACTCACCTAAATTAACATTAAGTAAAATATATATACTATTACTGTTTTAAAAATGCATATGCGCCTCAGCCTGAACCGGGGGGTTGAAGATGGAGTTTGGTTGGTTACCCCCTTCTCACTCTCTCTCTCTCTCTCTCTCTCTCTCTTTTTTTGCAAAGACAGACATAATATTGACATTGATACATTGATCATTGTGGCATAGATTAGCCCCCCCCCTTTCAACAGGGACAGGTTGCAGTATAGTGAAGGAAGGGTAAGTGGTAGGGTTCGAAAAAAATGGTATTGATAGAAGTTCTGCCCCCCCCCCCCCCCGTTCCTCATGAAACAGAATTTTTGCGTTTGGACAGTTGGGCAATTTACTATCCCCCTTTTTGGTTTATCAATTCATTTCTCAGAGTTGATTTCTTTTTCTCTTTCAGATAGCCCGCCCCCTTTCAAATTGCTTCCGATGCCAATGACGTTTCATTGGTACTAAATGTAGTATATATATCATATACAGAGCTGCCAACCCTTACGATTTTGGCGTAAGGCGTACGATATCAGCGTCTGAAATACGCCTTACGATTTCTCTCTCTCTTCTTCCGATTTCAGTTTTCTCTCGTTCAAAGTTTATAATACCGGTATTTTCAAAGCTGGCAGTCTATAGTTTCTACTAATATAATATATTCATAATTCTAACAACGCTTGCTTGTATCATCGTTTCGGTTTTAGAAGGTCGATCACATTCATGTCAATGTTTTAAAGTAACCAAAATGGAAACATGCCTCATATTGCATGTCCAGTTGGAAAACATCTTCAGCGGCAGGGGGCTTAGGCGGTCCCTAGACCCCGCCTTACTATTTCTCATTTCAGAATGTTGGCAGCTCTGTATATCCAAACATAAGACCGATACAAACTGGTAAATTAATTAAAAATCCTATCACCTAGGGATGCACAATAATATCATCGAGATTCTGGTATATTGCGATTCATTAACAAAAAGTATCATATTGCCCAACGTTTTTTCAGTGCCTAAGTACCGATATACCGCAGGGGCGTAGCAACCGGGGGGGGGGGGGGGGGCCAGGGGGGCCTGCCCCCCCCCCCCCACTTTTTTTCCCAACCTTACTTATACTATAGGAAATGTTAGTTGAAAGCCTGGTTGGCCCCCCAACTTTTAGCGATGCACTGAAAATGTAGTATTAGAATTGGTACTAAAAGTAGTTGACACTGAGAAAAAGTTAAATTTTTTTTTTTTTTTTTTTTTTTTTTTTTTTTTTTGCTTGTCAACTTTTTCAGGTAAGCAAAAAAAAATTTTTCTCTGGCTGGCCCCCCACTTTCAAAAACGATGCTACGCCACTGTACCGGCAAACTATTTGGGCTTTAGCTTTCTTGGGTAAAGTATGTAATTAAATTTGTCAGACATATCGTCAATTGTGCTAAACAGTACAACACGGTAATGTTGCTTTTGTTTGGTTGCATTTCATTCTAAAACTGTAGTTTTGGAAATCTAAAAAAATATGCAACATTGATTTTATGATCGCTTTACATACATTGCGTATAGATAAGAACACAGTATATGCAAACCATTTGCACAAATTACAAACTCGTTTTTGTCCCCCGCTTGAAAAGTGGGGGATATTAATTTGGGTTTGTCCGTCCATC